ATCACATAGTATGCAAATGTATATGACTCAATGAATGCACTATCACATGCTCACAACAATCATCATTCATCGCAAGGCATAAGCCCACATCATCATTATTACCAATAAATAGAGGTAATTCATCATCATCTAAAACTCTCTGCAACTTTGCATGATCAACAAGAATTCACATCGACAATCACAACAATACAATATCTCAACATTAGCCATAGGCCTACAACTTTATGTTTCCAATAAATAGAGGCAGCATAACAAACGCGCGATTTTAAGCAACTCATCAATGAATAAGGCTCAAAATAAAAGAATAAAAAATCATCTATTTGTTTGATATTTTGTCATTGGTAGAAAGAATATTGAATAAGCTTTCCAATGCTTCTAACCGGGAGCAAATCGGAGTTACGATTCTTAAGTTATGGCCGAAACAGTACAAAATTTTCTGCTGTTGCTTCTGGTATATTTCGCCCGGCGAAACTGGCAGGACAGAAATATGTTAAAAGGGGGTAAAAACACAATTTTTAGGTTTTTTTTGGGTATTTTTGATCCCATCTCATCAAACCTCTATTGTTGGTTGAGAGAGCTTGAAAACAACAAATGGAGCTTGCATCTTGATGATCCGGAGTCAGATTTCTCATCAATCAGTGCTGACAACCCATGAGATGTTTGGTTTTTCTCCATTTCTTCTCTTTGTATTTCTCTATTTGTTGGGTTATGTTTGCATATTTACTTTGAATATATGTATATTTGTTGATCATGGTGTTGTATAAAGCTTGCTTTACAAATCAATCTTGATGTCTTCTTTGATCTTTTTTATTTATGTTTGAATTTGGGTTATTATAGACATATACCTCACAAATATTGATTAGGTATGGATATCTATTAGTTTCTAGATTCTAGAGATAATTTTAGAGTTAATATTCACTTTGGATTCTAAAGCTTAATGCCTCTGTGTTGTTGTAGCGTGCAATATATTATCGATAGAGTAATACGGTTGGTCTCGCGACTTGGCGTTAGACATAACCTTCGTTGTGGGTACATCTCGTGGTGTCAGTGATGCTTTTGACGAGTAGAGTAGGTTGAGTGTAACTGATCAATATGTTTAAGTTTGTGAGAAGTAGTATAAATGTATGCCAGATATATTTCTCCTTTCCATTGAATGTACATATTTTATGTTCATTTATTTTCCTTTATATACAAACCAAACCTATTCAAATCCAAACTCATTAACGAGAGATTTGTCGAACGACAATTCAATTCACCAATTTGTGTGGATACGATAAATTCTTGGATAAATATTTTCAAAACTTTTGTTGCTTGCCGCTTTACCGCTTCAACAGATTAGCAGTTAATCCTTTCACATAAAGAACATCTTCTAAACTAGGAGAAATAGCACGCATCAACTTTCTAACTCCTTTGATTTTACCTTTAACTCCTTTGATGTCTAGAGCACCCACTATCAAAGTAACAATCTTCTTCATTTGTGTATCTTAAGGAAGTATGAGCAATAAAGTTAATATCTCTATTTTCAACACTTCTCTTTTTGCTCACTAGACTATCCTTAGAATGAACTGAAGATTTTTTATCTCCATACAGTTTATAACAAATACTTAATATGGCCATGCTCACCACAATAATGAAATATCCACGTTGATGATTGGAATTTGGATAATGTCTTATCATGTCTACCAGGATGTTGTAACTCTAGTTGGACATGTTATCATTCTCTTTCTTTCAGGTGAAAAAAACTCTTTTTCAGATACTTTTCTTTGTTTGTTATCAGATTGATAATCAACTTCAGTATCTCCATCCTCTCTCACAATATCAGCTCTATTTTTCATCTTCTTCAAGGAATTTGACATGTTATTAAGCTTGAAATTTAATAGAGTTACCTCACTTTGAAGATGTGAAACAGAACATAGAAGCTTCTTCTTTTCATTCTCCAATTCAGCTATGATATTTATCTGTTCTTATTCTATCTTAAGACTTTCTTCACATTTGTCACACATGTTCTTATAGGATACATCAAGGTCTTCATAGAGAACACTTTCATCATAAGCTTCTACTTCATCTGCCCATCTGTAAGAAAGAGCCATCATAAGTCTTGTAGTTTCATTATTAGCCTCATCTTCTGACTCATCATCATCTGACCAAGACATAGTAAATTCCTTTTTCTTCCTCTTGAGAAAAGTGGGACATTATGGTTTAATATGACCAAACCCTTCACACTCACAATATTGAATGCCTTTGATTTGATTGGTCTTGTCCTCAGTTGTATTTTTCTGAAAATCCTCATCATTCTTGATGTCAGATGAGATGTCCTAACATTTGGTATTCCTCTTTAGTCCATTATTTTCAAAATTCTATTGAATTGCTTCCTGAGTAGCACAATGGTATTGGACAGTCCTTCATCAATATCCAGATTAGCTTAACTCTCTTCATCTTTAGCATTAGAAACAAAAGTTATGCTCTTGTTCTTTTTCTCAGATTTGTCACTTATAGCCAATTCAAAAGTTTGAAGTGACCCAACAAGTTCATCAACTCTCATGGTATTGATGTCTTGAGCTTCTTCAATAGAAGTTACCTTCATGTCAAATTTCTTAGGTAAAAATTTAAGAATCTTTCTAACAAGCTTTTGTTCTGACATCTTTTTACCCAAGGCACTAGATGCATTTTCTATTTCAAGAACTTTCATATGATATTCCTGGATGGTATTATCATCATTCATATTTTTCCTCTCTCAAATTTAGAAGTGAGAAGCTGGAGTCTTGATATTTTTACTTTGGATGTACCTTCATGAGCTGTTCTGAGAACTTCCCAAGCATCCTTGACTATAGTACATGTATTAATCAATCTGAACACATTCTTGTCCACTCTATTGAATAAGGCATTCAAGGCTTTGAAATTTTCAAGAGCTAATTTACCATCCTCATCATCCCAATCTTCTCCTGGCTTCAAGGACATATTCACATCTTTGTCCTTATTCACAGGAAGTTCCCATCCTTTCAGAACAACCTTCCAAGCTTTGTTGTTCGTGGATTTTAGAAAATCCACCATTCTAACTTGCCACCAATCATAACTTGAACCATCTAACAGAGGTGGTCTGTTGTTGTATCCTCCTTCTTTATTCATAGTACCAGAAAATATTCTCCCTGGAGCTCATCCAATAGACAAAACAAGGTGCTTGCTCTAATGCCAATTCAAATTCTGACACTTGCAATACAAATGTTCAGACTGATGTCTCAACACCACACAATGTCAAGATAGATGTTAATAACATATGTTGACAGAACACTTGCTAAATATGTTGATTGTGCAGAAAGATAAATTGCATAAATTTAAATAACACACAATCAATTGTTAACCCAGTTTAGTGCAACGTCACCTACTATGGAGCCTACCAAACCAGAAAGGAAATCCATTATGATAGTATTAGTTCAAAACTAAGTCAATCCTAATTTACAACTTCTCGCCTAATCACTACCTTGTACAACTTCTACCTAGAGACCACTAGATATGAGACCTCTTTCTCACTTCCAATCACCGCAGTGATATACCTACAACCACAAACCTTGTTACTAGACTTAAAGAATCCAACAGAAGATTACACTTCAAATAAACAATACTTAATTTTTCTTAAAAGCTTCAACTAAGAACAATACACAACTCTTTGCTTATAAACTTATGAGTGAGAATAATAACTTGATATAAAATCAAGTAACAATTAGTCTACTAAATGCATCAAAAGATACATGAGCGACATACAAAGAACACAAACACTAAGAACCCAAAAGACTCCCAAAATCCTAATCTTTATGTTGCACCAACGATTTCTTCTTTGTGAATGCTTGCTATTTTAAGTCATAGCAAGTCCTTATTTATAGACTCTTGCAGTATGGGCTTGGACTCTTCAAATCAAATCCAATCTTTACTTTTTAAATCAACTGCAAGATCTTTACATAAAAATAGGAATAAATCTTTTTAAAATTTTCTAAAAAATCTCCAAGATACTTTTTAATGAAACAAATCAATCTGCACTTGTTCCTAAAATATTCTTGATTTGTTGCGCCTGTATGAGTACTAGAATATTCCAGAATCTCATATTTTTCAATCAAATCTTCAAGAAAATAAAACATCAACGCCTGCTGCATAACAGGTCAAGATGTCAGAATATCTGAATCAATTAATTATATTATAATTCTAGAGATATCTCCAGAACTTTTCTTAATTTCACTATAGGGTGGCACTACATTTGGTCACGTTTGTGTGATATGAAGAGTGCGTCGGAAAATATATTTTCAAAAATAGAGAGACAATTTTAAATTTTCATAGGATTTTTTTCAGTGTGTAATAAGAAATTCTCATCCTAAATTTTTCTAAAGAGATCAATTACACTTTGTTATAATGAGCACGTGAAAACTTTATGTATGGTCAATTTATACTTTCTCTTAAAACATTTAGTACCATTTTTAAAGTGTGTTGAAGGGTTCAACATTATTTTTAGACAATCAAACCCAAAAAGAATATCTTTAGACACTGAGGCTAATGAATACAAAGATATCTTTAGCATGAGTAGTAAGGTACACCCGCACATGCTCATTGAATCATAAATAAAATGAAGGAAAGTTGTACAAAAGATAAAGAAAACTTTTCCTCCTTTATTAAGTCTATTCTTTTTTGGAATCCAACATTATACATGCTCTCTTAATTATTTCTTACCAAAGCATTATGATTACATTACAGTGCTGGTGTTTATTTCCATGGTGAAACAGGTATTGAAAAAAATGCACAATAATAGAAAACAAATTACTCATACTATTAACAGTTAAATTGATTGATATATGAGAATATTTGTTTATCATATTGTGCATTTTTTAGCAGAAATACTTGCTTCTGTTGAGGAAAACTAAACATAAAAAAATACTAAGAACCTTCTATAAATATTAAGATCCTTCTATAATCATATGCTCTAGCTTGTGTAGACATTTCTCTACCACATGTTAATTTTAGACCCTACCAACAGGAGAAACTGGTGGATTAGAAACATAACTTGTAGGAATATCTTCTAATTTACCAAAAGCCTTTAGTTCCTCGGTTTGCGACTTTCTTGTTCCAGAAAGCTCACATGGCATCTTGCTATCAACTAATGCAATGCAAATGGCGAATGCTTGCAAAAGTGAGAGCGATGAGTCAAAGGCTACAGAACTCATACCATTTTCTAAGGGGGTTAAGCTGAATGCTGGGCACGGATCGTGTTTGTTCCCCTGTGGTTAGCAAGAAAAGAGATGCATCAAAGTTACTAATCTTAGTAATATGTAATAGCGTATGCAAAATATGTTTCATGAACAAAATGTACCTGAACAAAAAGATCGAATTGATAATCTGCAAAATAAGGTTTGGATGGCAGTGGTTTTCTACTGGCTTGATTTTCAGTAGCAAGAATTTTAAGTTTGCAAGCCAAATCCCAACCGCCGCAGTCACATGATCCACCGGATTTCCACCGCTCAAGTAGTGATGAAGGTCCGCCTTTACTTGGAAAACTATGAACCCCACCTGGGAGCACAACCGTTGCATGGACAATGTCATGACTATCACTGTGGCAACTGCTATGATGTTGATTGTTAATGAAACTGATAGCTTTAGGTATTTTGACGGCAATAGCAGCAAGCTCGTCTTTTGGCTGATAGTCGGCGTCCTGAGCATCACTTTGCCCGAGCTTTACAGAAAATAAAACAAACTCTTTCACGGTAGAGGAGTCCATACAATTCTGGCCGGTTAAATCATAATAATGCAAATAAGAAGCCTTCATTTGAGCCACAACATGGGGAACGTAATCAGGTTCTTTGCTTCTGCCTGCTTTACTCATCCAACTTCCATTCTTCTTCTTAACCTCGCTAAAGGTTAAAAAGGTATAGATGCGGTTGCATTCGTCTTTTCCAGAGTCGCCTAAGTTCTTCACTTTGGCTGCAAGAATGTTACCGTCAATTTGGTTAACAGCAAATGTAAAAAGAGGCAGACCGTTCTTCACAGCAATTCTCAAAAGAGCTTGTGTCGTCGATGGAGCGTGCTTCATCTCCCTTGAAGAATCAACGGTATTAATTGCGCTACAACCGGCCTTATGGTCCCTATCCACTTCTTTGATTGGATGTAGAGTTGAAAATCTCCCATTAGCTGACCTATAATTCTTATTTATTGACGCGGAAAACTTCTGAGATGAGTCCAATGAGCGACTGAACTTAGCTGTCTTTGGTTTCAGCAATGGATCCAATAACCTCCTTAAAGGGCTTGACCTGCTTCTACCAGCATCACCAGGTTTATCATTTCCTGAAATGTTTAAGTTATCACAACCTCTCACATTGTCTAAACTATATTCAGCAGCTTTTATAGAGTTCTGATGCCGCACATGCCCAGTCTCTTTACAAGCAGAACCTCTACTTGTATAGCTGGTGCTGCTTAATTGACGAAAAGGTGAAGAGCTTCTTGACTTTTCAGATGTTACTTTTTGGTCTAATTCATGGAGAGGCACATTCACATATAAAGTTTTGGCCATGGTTTGTTTCCTTTCCTCGGCTTTTCTAGATTTGGGCGGGCTTATTTCTACTCTGACTGATAAAGGTGACGAGGGAGTAGATGCTGGCGATGAAAAAGTAGAAGCAGGAATCTTAAAACTTTCCATATCTGTGGAACTGCAAGCAGAACCTTTATCTTGAGAATCATTGCAGCTAAGTTCATCTGGAAGGGCACCGGAATGCGAAATATTGTGATTTAGTTCTTTACGAAAGAATTCCTTAGGCTGTTCTGAAAAGCTCAATCGAGTATGATCTTCTAACTTCTGAGCCAAGAATGATAGTGAATGAGCTTCTGACTTTGTAGGAAAATTACGAACAAACGGCTCTCTTTTTCTTAGCACACCTTGCACAACATTATCAATATTTGGTTCATTCAATTTCTCTTCTCTTTTTCCCATTCCACCATCTCTAGTGTGAATTTCTAGTATAGCACTTGATGCTGCTTTGTGCAATTTCTCATTTCGTATGATGCCACTTTCCTTATCAATATGCGGATCGAAATATTCCCGGTTGAATTCTTTCAGTCTTCTATTAGGATGGTCCTTCGTGTCAATATTACCGAAGCTACCTCTAAAATCCTGACAGCGCCCAATACTTGTTCTAGAGGATTTGACAGCTTGAGAATGGTCTTGAATCGAAGACGCCATAAAGTGAGATTTCAGCGACTGACGCAATATTGTCCCTTGATCGGTGCTACAATGACCAGGTAACCCATCTTTCGATACAGAAGACAAATCATTGTTTGATGATGAACTCCTTCTATTTCTATGTGACGCATATTTCCGACGGTTCTTCCATTGCTCTAGACGGTTCCAATCAAGAACGCCGACATTTAAAACTTTCTCGCGACTTTCTTCTTTTCCCCTTTGTAAATAACCCGGCAAATTGGACATGTACTTAACCATCTCATCCTCATTTTTATGAATTTCATGATGATAATCAGGCATAGATGACTTCCCCGACTTACTCTCTCCGTAAACCTTTTTGCTCATGATGATAAACAGTTTCTAGAAATTTATTTCAGATCTTACAACTATCCATCAATTTTGTGAACCAATCAACCACCTTGCAATCCAAAACATACTACAGCTTGTTTTTCATCTAAAAACCAGAGAAAATGTATATCAAATTAATGACCATAAGATAACAAAAACAAAATGTCCGTTAAACCAGCTCAGTTGTAATTTCACTGAGAATGCAAATTTAACCAGCGACATCCCACCACCTACAACAGGAATGCGAGTTGAAATCCAGAACAAGCAAGGGGTATAATTGTCCATGCAAATATATGAACCCAATTTAAAAATATATAAAAGATAAGGTGTACAGATACCGTCCTCATGGAGACAAAAATTTCCAGCTATTTCATTATAATTTTGAAAATCAAATTATTGAACTGTCTCCAGTCCACTTGCAAGGAAAATAAACAATAAAATCCCACATGTCAAGAAATTAAAACAGCTTCAAAATAAAATCACTTTTACCAAATTATAAAAGTGCTTAAACTCAACAGAAAAGCTGGAGTTTGAAAATGCATACCAGAGAAGAATGGAGCGGTGTCGGTGGTTACAAAGAGTATGGGATTTGGGAACAAATGAAGAAGATAAATAATGTGGTGAATATACGAAAGAGTAAAAGGTGAGATCGGAGCTCAAAAGTCATTGAGAGTAGATAGTAGCACCTGAAACAAGACACATGGCTACACAACCGCGTACACACCTAAACTATGTTTTATAGTGACAATGGAGGAGCTGAAGTGAAAGGGAGTGATTTGTTTTTTTCTTTGTGGCTATGAGTGCTTGCCACTCCTACAACTACTACCTCAAAAGCCATTACATTACATTACATTACATAACATTTACTTAAAACATGGTTGAATTTTTAAGACTTATTTACCTAATTTATAGATTTTTGAGCTGACGTGGCAAAATTATGCCCTGTTTATGGGGGACCGGACCTATAATCCAAAGGCTAAAAATGATGGGCAAATCATCAGACGGTGATGGCGACATCACGTAGAGAAAAAAACGGTGACGATAAAAAGAGGAAAAAGATTGAGTGTGTGTGTGATCCCAGGTCCCACGTGAACTATTACTTTTTTTTGTTTTTTATTATTGGATTTGATTCTCTTTCTATGAGAAAGTGTTGATTTCAAATGTGGGCCCAATCCTCAACGGGACTTAGTGGGTGGGCTTTACATGGACCCACTTCTCTTTCATCTGGGCTTGAGCCGGGCTTATCAGAGAAATTATAATTTTTCTTTTTAGTCGTTAATTATTTTCTCTATCTCATAATAAATGTCTTATTTGAGTTTTTCGTAATTTAAAAAAAAATAATTGAATGTGTTAATTTTAATGATAAAATTAATATCATTTAGTAAAATATTATTATTTATTATAGTTTTTTTTGTTAAATCATTATATTGAAGAATTAAGTCAATATAGAAATAGAAGGCAAGCGGGTAATAAGCTGCGCTGCTACTCCTTTTTGGATCGCAAAATCAATCCTCTTAAAAATTACATCCATAGACCTAGGAGATACAACATTGTTATTCATAAGACTTTGAACTCTCTGTAAAAAATCAACTGCTTCTGGTGCTAGGAAACCAAAAGTGTCAAAGACAAATAGTATAAGAATATGTTCATTTTTTTAACACACTTTCTCATGTTTGACCACTTTACTGGAAGCAGTTTTGAGAGCTGCATGTCCCACAGTAAAACCATTATCCCTCAAACCTACAAGTAGAGAAACTCATGTCAAGTCCACACAAGCATGTTTCCCTCCTACCCATCCGGTACACCAAAACATGTGTTAGCCTAAGTGTCGATCTCCCCTCAAGTGGGTCAATCAAAAAATTCACAAGCGCCTCTTTCTTCACAGATAATTCGGCACGTCGGAATATATCAAACAAGACATCCCTAACAAGGTTATGTTGGTATTTAAAATCTGGAAGCTTCCTACAATGAATCGCGTGTTCCTCAAATATATCCAAACATGCCTTACGATAAACAGGGCAAACCTCATCAACAGGAAATAAAGAAATCATAAGGTGGTATCTTAGGATAGTACAATACTCCACCAGTGACATATGTTGGCCTACCTCATCAATATGAATAGCAAGGAAAAAATCTTGAGCATGTGCGGATTGTAAACAACTAAAAACTGCCTTCAGTCTCGTGGTCATGTCAAACTTCACATCCAAGTCCTTAATAATTTTACTAAAAAAGACATTTGTCAAAACATGTTATGCTTTAGGAGGGACGGTGTCCTTACTAGTAAAATTTCTAAGGTCAAAGTTTGAAATCGCAACACTAAGACTATCCAAAGCTCTGTCGAAATCCGAGTTCATACCGTACACCCCACTGTGTCTCAATATATGATCCTGCAACACCCAAAATTGGGTCCTAGAAGCCAGAAAGACGTATGAGGAAGTCTCTACAACCGAGTACACACTCAAACCCCCAACTCTAATGGGGTAATGAAGTCACACTCTATTGAAGTTCCCCTAAGAAAGGATCTCCACCAACCACAGTGTCTTCAACTGCCTTCCGCGACTATTTATCAAACCAAACAGTTGCTTCCTTCATAGGATTAGATTGGCACGTTCTTAGGCCAAAAAATAGTTTAGCAATACCCATGCAGGATCGAAGTAGAAGGAGCTCACTCTGAGGACCCCTTAGTTGTGGTAGAAGGTGCATTAAATCAATAGCCATGGCAGCTTTCTTTTTGGACAACTCCTTAATGAAACCATCATCCAGACTAACAGCCCCTCAAAGCAACTTCATCCCTAACAACGAACTCCCAATTTCTAACAGGAACATATCCTCATGAAGTTTACTACCATCACATAAAGCCCAAAAGAACTCAGTCTTACAAATATTCAATTCAAGACCTAATCTTGGACCTGTCTTTCAAATGATATCAAGTGCTTTAGCCACCTCTTATGAATCCCCTATAATAGTCCCATCATCAAGATATTAAGCATGAAGAAGAAGCTTACAATTGTCTCTAACCTGATGAATGAGTGGGTGTAACACAAGAGCAAACAATAGCGGCCCTAACAGGTCACCTTGTTGCACTCTGGTGACTGACATAATAAGTCCATCCCCAGGGTACAACCTTACTGCTTAGCCATAACGAAACTCAACCCACAAAGAAATAGATAGGCCTCTCACCCTCACCTCTCTCAATATGGCTGATCGATCTACCATGTTGAAATTATTTGAGAAATGTATAGTGAGCATAACCAATGAACCATTTCTGTGTCGTTTGCTTAACACCCTGTTGGCACTATACAAAATGGCCTCGACAACATCTGATACCCCAATCCCAAATTGAAAGTCATTGAGGTATCGCGCCATATATTTATCAACCTCTTTCATAGTAACCTTGGATACCAAACGCCTCCAAATAGAACCCATAATAATTGGTCGTATTCCACCATCAGACTTTAATAACAGTGTCAATGGTTTAGATGCAACAAACTCTACCAAACTCATGGGACATCTTCCTCCTAGCCATAAGTTAACAACTAGAGTGATTGTGTGTAAAAGATATTTCGCCACAATAGAACCTTCTCCACACAGTGCATCTAAAATATGTTGAGCACGCAAACCATCTCTACCATAAGACGCTCCCCTTTGGAAATGATTTAATACACTTGAAGATAGTATCTGCATCAGTCACTAGGGGAGATTCTGAGAATAAGGTGGTCATCATGGATGGAGGTAGTCTATATGGGTTCTTAGCCTCCAAAATATTCATTGTATGTTCATTATAGGGGGGCTACACTGGATGACCCTAACACTTTTACAGTCGATATGAAATATCCATCTATAATCTCGCAGAGTAATTGAGAAGTGTGAAAGTTAATAAATAAGGGTATAATAGTGGAAAAATAATAATACCCCTTAGTAAAGCTTTTAATAAAACTAAGAATTTTTTTTTGAACTTTGAGAGTGACTTTACACCTAGTATGCATGACATCTTTCCTATTCAAAAGATCATGATACAGTGTGTGGATATGCAAGGAGTCAGAAGTCTTGGATGCATTCTCAAGGAGTGAGAGTATCTGACTCAGGATCAACTCTATTGAGGGAGTTGGTGTTCAACATATGTATAGAAGTGTTGGTCTTCATCATGAAAGCATGAAGTCTTTTGTGTGTTTTCACCAGGTGCTCAAGTTTTCATCTTCAACTAGAGCACTGTTTATTAATGACATATGGAGTCATGTATTTATCTGTAGATTGTTGTTGCAATGGTACAAATATTAATATGTTGTTCAAACTTGTGGAGATCTTATGCCTCTTATGAGGAAGTAATGTCAGATAACATGTTATGACATTATGTAATTATTGGTGATTTTGACAAGTCATGATTAGGTTTAGCCATGTAAAACTGGATGATTGAGTCATAGGTTCACATTTTTCTCAAATGGTTAATGGTTAAGACTGGGAGAATTTATTTTTCTCTGTAGAGTTTTTATTGAGAGATGTCACAAATGTGATATTCTGCTAGCTTGGTGTGTGTCACCAAGGCTAAGTGAAAGGAGAACACTTAGAATCCAATGGAACCCAACGTGGATGAAGGTGTGTTGGTCAATGTGAAAGCAGAAAAAGACAATGTCTGACTGGATGTCAGGATATTATTCAGGACATGTTTCTCGTGCGACCAACAAGGGAGTGTTACGACAATTTGTGATCAAACACGTGTCAGAAGGTGTGTTTGACCATGCATGTGCATAAATTGGGACTGGTTCTTTTCAGCAGAAACAATCTAGAGCATTTAAAGGCGTTCAAAGTTGTTTTGGACGGTGCACTTTGATGTAAGTGGCAGTTTTGTCCTTCAATTAGCGTCTCTTTAACCAAGATCATCTCAATCAAAGATCGTTAATTCCTAAGAAAATTGCTCAGCTATTTATAGAGGTGTCTCATATCCTCTATCTCCATGTGAGTGTTTGATTTTGTTCATCATCACTATGGGTTTTGTTTGG